GAGGCAGGTCTACTAGGATGGTTTACCATGCTTTGGTCGTTGTAGTAGATGTTGTTGGTGTTGTAAGCTGCTCCATTATGTCCCATAATACACGAAGACGTCGAGATCTAGAGGCTCAACAATTCTCAGATGATTCAGAGGACGAAGCTCGGGGAGATGAGGATAATAAAAGTGCTAATCCAGAGTGGTTAAAGAAGGCTATAAGGCAGCAGCAAGGAGGAGGGTCTAAGGTGGGCACTGTGAATGCTACATGCATAGTGACTATCTATTGTGGTGGCAGAGAAAGGATGGTAGAGAGGAGAAGGGGGATGCCGAAATGGCCAGAGCTAAGCGTAGGGCTATTAGGATGGGAGAGGATCCTGATGATAGTAAGGATAATATACCCGAAACTGAAGGTAGATATCATCGATACTCGATCAATATGATGATGATTATCATTTATTGCTGAGGTATTGACAATGAGGACCCCGAGATGGCTGTAGACGATGGAATAGTGTTGGAGCCTTTTAATATGAGGAGGGAAAACGAGGAGGGCCACTTTGATGAGTCGGGGTTCTATGTAAGCTAAGGAGGTTAGGTTATTAATACGTAGGTGGATATGATGGTGTACAGGTACAGAGTAGATCAGAGCAAGCAGAGAACTTGGATGCATGGCTGGATTCAGTGGACAAGGGTGACCAAGATTCGACCTATCAGAACGAAGAACAACGCAAGAAGGCTGAGAAGCTACATGCTGAGTTCTGGGGTCAGGGGGATGATGTGGATGAGGATACACAAGGTGACTGCGGTCATCATACTGGTGATGTCACTATTGTCCAACTTTGGTAGAGGTTATCCCACCCCTGCGGGATTTAGTGACACAGATGTACACAATAACGATGGATGTCAAGCAGAGCACACCAAGAGGAGCTCTAAGGGTCCTTAGCCCAACAGTGTCAGCTGAGACTAAGAAGAAGAAGGATGATGCTGAGGTACCGTATCACGATAGTGAAGCCTTTCGATGATGATGTTGTCAGGCTAGGGAATCTCATAGTAGGAAGAAACCAAGATGGCAACAGAAGCAGTCGAATACAGAGGATCCATGCCAGGGAATGTCCGTAGATGAGAAGAAGGCTAAATTTGATGAGTTATCGACTATTCTCGAACAATTGCAAGATCACTATGATCGTATGAGAGTATCTCTCATGGGCATACTAACATCATCCTCTTACATTTTAGGTGACTGTCTTGATGCGACCTTACAGGATATCTATAATACAATACTAGCACTAGCCCAGTCGGGTAAGGACATAGTCTTGATACTTAATGGAGCTCATGACTCTTTAGGAGCCCCATCGGCATCTACAGGAGATGGGTCTGCTATCTCTAGTAAAGACGCTTGATTTCTGTATATGAGGTATTGATCTACTCTGTCGAGTTGCTCACATCATCATACATATCATCGTATAGTGGTAAAGCCTATCGAAGGCTTTGTGGGGGGAGTCGGGGGCCCGTGTTGGCATGCCCTATGATCGTCTTATCGCCCTTCTTGGCCTCGGTGGCATGATCTGTTCAACCCTTCAGGTGTGCTCTGTATATGGTTAGGTTTTTTATCCTTACATCTGGGGTTCCATAATAATGTCAGCACTAGGAAGAACGTCGCCAACTCCAGCTGATGCCATTGGTGTGAAACCACAAGAGTTGATACAGAAGACAGCTTTAGCGAATAATATGATGCTCTTGGGGTCCTGGTAATAGTTGTACTATCCCGTCTTTAGTTATGATCATACTACCTCTTAGTCGAACATTCTCGGCGATCCTTGGAGGCATTCTGGCGGGTATATTCAGAGTAGAAGGTCTACAGTATGGTCTCATCCTTTTCGCTGTAGTACAACTACTTGGATCGTTACTAGTAGGATGATGAGCATACATAGAGAAGACCACTTGCATGATGCATTTTAGTTATACATAAGATTAGGAGGGGATGGTAAGAAGTACTTCATCAATGAGAAGGACATGATGATAGGACAACTCTCCACTGGTCTTATGGTAGTAGGAAGTGTGCCTAGTTCATACAGAATTATCCTCTCTCAGGGTTTCGTACTTATGTGGACGTTAGTATACGATTGTGTCCATATATTCTGATGAAGTCTGTCGGGGGGGTTGTATTATGACTGCTACTCACAAATAGTAGTTTCTTGGTGCTCTCCTGTTGTGCCGTGGCTATCATAAGGGTTCGAGAGCTTCCTCGCAATATAAGTTTTTCGATTATCGACTTATGGACCCATCTGGTGAAGGTGAGGTCGGACCACGACAACGCCGGCCTGATGGTGGAGGTGAGGGCAATGATGACCCAGATGATGATAATGCTCCCCGTCCAGCAGTTGTGGAACACAGACCACAGCCGCCACGCCGAGGTGATCATGGAGGGGGCACTATTGGTAACCAACTGTATATCAACCAGGCTCATCAGTTTGGATACCTCACAAAGCACCGGTTGGAATGTCTCTCAACAGCTGTCTCTCACCTCGGTGTAGATAGTAAGAGTATATTTATAGGTATACCTGAAGGAGCTATGGGAAAGTGTGGGATCCTATTGGCAATTATCGTTGCCCTCTTCGCTTTGGATGTACTACAGTTTATGATATTCGGTAATACCTTCCATCATCATCATGGTAGTGTTCCTCTCCCTCCATTATGTGCTTTGTAGGAGATAACGAATCCCCTACGAGACCTGTAGGGTATTGGTCCGGCTCTAGTAACGGTGATGATGGACGGATGATCGAGGATCATCATCATGGTGTTGAGGTAGTAGTTAAGGTCCACTATCTATCATCATATGATGGTCACCATCATATAGCGTATACCAACTCTCCCCCTTCTCATCAATTCAGGATGAAACTCCCGATATGTCGTGGGAACAATCACGAGAGGGTATAGCCATGAGGCTACGTTTCCAAGCCGCTATGGATGATTTCAAGTAGGACCATCCTATGTTATTGATAATAGATGCTCTAAATCAGCTCGGGCTACCTCAAGGAAAGCCATGATGAATTCTACGCATTGTACCAATCATCCGGCAATTTAACGGCCCTGGCATATGCAGGTGAGCCCTACCCCATATACGTGCATCTATCTGTCATTATCATAGGTCAAACAGCGTTACCATTGAATAGTACCAGAGCTGCGCAGCTACTAGAGGAAGCTGCCAATCAAGGAGAGCCACATGCCCAGTGAGGAGCTTCTTATTAACCTCCCTGCTTGCTAATGAGGAGGAACTTATATTAGGTTCATACTGGGCCTCTATTATTCGAATAATTGTGGTGATCCTCATCGTATAACAATTCCTGGGGAGCATGAAAGAGACTATGGCAAGGGTATACTCTATCTGTAAGATGGTTCCTCATGGTGGCTTACTATGAGATAGTGTGCTCCTTAGATATGCCTCATCCACTGCTGGTCATACTGGTGCATTAATGACTATGGGATATCGTCACTTGTATGGCTATGGAGTCCCTCGTAATTGTGAAACTGCTGCTATGAACTATATTGAGGTACTAGTATACCATCACTGCTCATTGTCACACATCGATCGAATGCTGCCTCTATAACGAGTGCTGTAGGCATATGGAGTTATATCTTTATGAGAGGTCTATCTAGTGTGAAGGGTGTTCTCAATGCTCAGATTGCCCAACGAATAGCACACATCTACTCCACAGGGCTACCACAAGCAGTGGAATTGGTACGATTAAATCTTCAAGGAGTATTGGCTGGAGAGGTAAGAAGTGATAATATCTCCTACAGTGGGAAGATGATAGTCTCGTCTCAGACGGGTACTAAGAAGGGTCTCAGCCCCAATGAGATATCCCTCTTTAAACAGCTTGCCTATGCTGGTGATATTAATATAGCTAGTGCTGTAGGGAAGAGGTAATAATAATGATCTATCGCACTATTACCATTCTTATAGTTATATCATGCTTCAGATACTTACTGGGTGTTGAAGGCTTCCAACAGAGCTATTCTGAGGCTAAGAAGTTCCTCGAACTAGGTGCTTCCCGAGACCATGGTCCATCTCAAGCACTACTTGGATACATGTATGCTGCTGCCCTTGTATATACCATACGCTTCATCATGTGCTTCTATCATGAGGTACTGCCTCGGTCTCGGTGTTGAGGCTGATGTCGCTAAGGCCAGAGCATTGTTCTCGTCTGCGGCTGATCAAGATGATGCCTTGGGTAAGATAGCCTGTAATAGATGGGTGGAGATCATTGGGCAGCAGCAGGTCTCAATGGGTTGGGATATCTAAACTTCGAGGCCCGTGATTTCGATGAAGCATTCTCTAACTTCAACAGGAGTGCTATTAGAGGCTCTGCGGATGGCATGTTCAACTTGGCCAGCCTCTACCTAACAGGTAATAGGAAGTACCTTGTAATACTCTTATACATTCCTTCGTTACAGGTACAGGCACGGTACAGAGTTTTCCTACCGCTTTTATGTGGTATGCCCAAGCACTGGAACGTGGTCATACACCGGCAGCCTATGCCCTTGCTATCATGCATCTCAATGGTGTTGGTAGGTTTAGGGAATATCCTATGTAAAGTATGAGTCGGTTCAGGTACAGTAAGGGATTGCCAAATGGCTGTAAAACTCCTAAAGGAGGTTGCCGAACGGGGTGATTGGGTTACTGATACTCTAGAGGCAGCATATACTCAGAAGACGGTGGATCCTAGAGCCAGTAATTGGTCCAGGGTCTTCCATCTGTATACATGTGTTTAGGTGCACTCACTTTCCTTCAACTAGCAGAAGCTGGTCATGAGGTAGCACAATCCAACTTAGCCCATCTACTTGATCGAGACCACATTAAGCTCTTCCTAACCGAGGCCTCCGAGAAATACGATTCCGAGGACCTGGTAGGAACATTATCATCATCATCATCATCGTTTAGTGTCTATGAGATGTTATCCCTTCAGGATGAGTATAGTGTATTGTCTTCCTCCTCCTCCAAAACAGATAGCATATCATTGATGCGATTATTATCGCGCTTGGAGAAGCCCAACGCATCAGGAAGGGTCTTGGCCCAGCGGTTCTATGAGATGAGTGCTGAACAGGGTAGCCCTTCTAGCGAGTTACGTCTCGGTGACTTTGCGTAAGTTACTAGAACATATAACCTTGCATCATTGGTTACATCATGGTTGGTAAGGTATTATGGTTGGGGGATAGGAGTTCAGCTTGCTGATGTCAACATGAAGGATGATATCGATATGATCGCTGAATGGGGTGATGATGAAAGAGAAGTCACTAAACAATTGCAGACCGCTGATATACGATACTACAAACAGGTAGGTGATGTGCCTTACCGGTGGCCACAGCCTCCTACCCTCAGGCCTCACCTGACTATGATGCGGCATTGGCACACTATAAACGTACAGCAGAAACCCAGGTCATCGCGGAGTGGATGCAACCCTTTATAGGCCAGGCTAGGTACACTCCAGGATACACTCTGAGCTCTAAGGTCTGATCTCAATTAGGTTTGATGTTGGTTTTATGTATCAGTGGGGACTAGGGGGAGTACCAATGGATTTATCCCTAGCTGCCAAGCATTATGAGAAGTGCCTTGAGGTAGGCTATTGCCGTGATGTTTTGGTGAGAGTAGCGGCCAATGGTATCAAGCTGTGTTGAAGGTACATCCCTCGTCGGGTAGTACCGTTGTATCGATAATGCGAGTCGTGCTCAAACTCCAAGAATGGTAATCAGGTGTTTTCCATCATCATTGTTGGAACACTCATCTCTTAGGTATATGAGGTTGCCTGCACGAGACGAGTTGACCATCTCCCTCATTGCTGATAGGCGCCTGAGACTAATAGCAATATGCGCTGTAGCACTCACCTTGTTGGTCCTGATACGGAGCAAATTCGTAAGAACCTTGGTGCAGTACAATGGAGTGCAGTGTATAACCATTCAGGCGATGAGAGCAGAAGAAGAGGATCTCCAGCGGCGGCTAGTTGTGGACAACCCTGATGGAGCAGTAGCAGCAGCAGTTCCACCCGCGGAGTGATCTGCATCTTACTTGTGACGGTCTCTTTAGCTGTGGCCCTCACCTTATCACTGTTATTCTATCAGAATGGCTCGGGGTGACTTTTAGTTCTCAATTAGGGGGTCTAATGTTACGGTCCTATGGAACTTATTGGTCAGGAGTACCTCATCTATGAGTACCTTACAGACATGATATACATAAGACCAACTGATGGGAGGGGGGACGAGGCTCCCTCTTCATGCCTATCATGCGGAGTGGACATCAATCGCCCCTATTGGTAGAGGAAACTGCCAAGTCTCTCACGGTGACGTCGTTGTATTCTGCACGCATGCACACCTTGTCGGGTCACGGAAACTCCCTCAATTCAATTCAGGCAAGCACCAATTGCATAGCTTTGCCTCAATCGTCGCTCTTCAACATTATCACAAATAACTAATCGGAACTCACGGTTCCTTTACTCACTTTCCTTTTTTTCGGTAGCACGCGTTACTGTATAGAGATCGGCTATGTCAACTGTGTTCATTGCAAGCCATGCTGGGCTGTATGCTCCTCCGTTCAATTTAGGCTGCCTTCGGACATCCCTCCTGTTGTTCGAGTTTAGTCATACAAGTCATCTCGATAGACAGACCCATCCTACCCTCATAACAATGGGAGCAAGGATAGATAGGCACCGCCATGCATTGCGATATATACTGTGAGAGTAGTAGTGTTCAGTTTGGTTTGATGACTGATACGGCTAGACAAGTTTTCTTACCTTGGTTGATATCAGCGTAGACCCCAGTGGCCTGCGCATCCCGTTGATCCACATTCCGAGTGTTTTAGGATTGTTCGATCTCTCAGGTTGAATCCATTGGATGCCCTCCTCGTCATCATCTTCATATTGTTCGAGACCAGACATCAGATCCATCCTCTATGTCGCAGGATCCCTGGTAGCACCTCTGGCTGTTGGTATGGCCTTCGGGTTCACTGGTCCGGCTATTGATACTATGAGGAACTCCATGGAAGCACCTGATGGTCGTCATATCGATATTGGTTCGAATACGAATCTGCATGTATTCTCCAGCTCTACTGAGTCGGCCTTCTTTAGTGCAGCCGTGACCTTTGGGGCCGTGATAGGTTCTCTCGTTGGGGGTCCAACTACCGAACTTCTGGGACGTAGAATGGCCTTCCTACTAGCGGCTCCTACCAGTGCATGTGGGTATGTAATCGTTGGAGTTGGTAAAGCTCCATGGCTATTGGTCTTAGGGAGGGCCCTCGAGGGTATCTCTATAGGTATATGCTCATTCAATGGTGCTGTGTACATTCAAGAGATGTCGCCAAGTGATCTAAGAGGTGCCTTCGGATCCTGTACTCAACTTATAACAATTGTTGGTATGATCGTCATATACGGTCTTGGGATGGCTCTACGAACACAGGCGAATTCCTTAGATCCGCTAGCCACCCCTACAACATTCTCGAATTGGAGGGCTCTATCCTTCATTTGTGTAATCCCTTCCGGACTACTCTTCATCATCATGCTCTTTGCGAAAGAGACTCCGCGATGGCTGGCAACAAAGGGGAGATTGAATGAGGCTAAGGCAACTCTCGAGCTCATTAGAGGTGTTCCCATCACCGACCAACGCATCGCTGAGGAGGTTAAAGCTCTCGAATTGGCGTCGATGAAAACTGGACAACGAACTGCCTCATTAGTTGAACGGATAAGGGTGTTGTCATCTTGTAAGCGTCAGATGATTATATCCATCGGTCTACCGTTCTTGAATCAGTTCACGGGACTTAGTGCCATAGTCTTCTACCAAACTACGATTTTCATCAGGTCCGGCCTTCAAAATCCAAACCTCATGTCGTTCACAGTACAATTGTCATCCTTAGCTGGGAACATCCTTGCTTTCTTCTTTATCGATAGACTTGGCAGACGACCTTTAGGTATTTCAAGTAGTTTTGGTATGGGACTCGGTCAGTTCCTAATAGCGCTGTATTTTTATCTTGATAGCATCAATAGAGGGGATGGCCTGGCTTGGCTTTCTCTTGTAGGCTCATATGTCTATCATTTCTCCTTCTCTATGGGGCTAGGGCCACTGATATACCTCTTAGCAGCAGAATTGTTCCCAGACCATGCTAGGGGTTTGGCATCAAGTTTATCCCTCATGACTACATGGTTATTCGCGGCGGTCTTCCTGTTGTCACTCGACCATGCCATAGCGGCAACATCCATGCAAGCTGTCTTTTTCTTCTTCGTCGTAATCTCCTTCATACTGATGATTTTTATATGGTGGTTACTGCCCGAGACTAAAGGCAAGACGTTGGATGAGGTCCAGGTGCTGTTTCAGAGTCAGCGGCCTGTGAAAGACCAAGACTTACAAGTACTGAAATGAATGCTTCTGCGGTATAGGCTCTGCGATGAACTGTACCATTGACTATCGGTGAAAAGTTTTCCCTCATCTTGGTCTTTGTGGCCGGGCTAGCGATTGGCATCTTCTCAAGTTTTTCGATTTCAGCACATTCAGTTCAATCGAGTTATCCGCTAAGATAGGGTCGCCAATATCAACAGTGTTGTGTCTGGAGTAGTTCTACTACCTCTAGGGGAGTAACATAAGGAGTGTGCCCGAGAGAGGTGGAATTATTATGTAACCTTTCCTTCTCGCCCTCGGAGCTCGCTCCTCATTAACTCCATTTTTCGTCTACGCAGGTAAGCGATATCACACATGTATGAAATTGTAATCAACGTCCTGAACTGCCACTCTTAGAACTACCCAACTAACACAGGGTTTTCGCTATTCATCAGTCCCCACAACGCGACTGTCCACTCAACCAAAGCGATCCTGATTGTTGAAGTTATTCCCTTCATGTTGCTTGTAAGTTGTCGATCCATCTCTACAATGGCAGAACAACGGCTCAGGAGGTAGAGTCATACCAAGCGTCGTCACTTCATCATCATCATAGTGAAGTTCCTTGATAGACATGTATGTAGCACCCTAGCTCACTCCGCTTCCCTGGCAGCTCCTGTTATAGCAGTAGTCAGCCTTGAATTCACCAATCTAGCCATAAATACTATGCTCACTACATCCCGATACCCCCCACTTCTGAATCCAGTATTTTATGGTATCTTTAATTCTTTCAGTACCGTCTCCACCTCTGATGCCTTGGGCCATTAGTAAATGGGTTGAATCTTCGGACAATTACTCGTCACTCTGTTCACGTCATGGTCTCCTACAAGTATCTGTGCGTTGTTGACCGCCAAGAGTCGACGTCACAGTCTCTCCACTAGGTTTCCTCTCCTTCCCCATCGGTATGAAGGAGATATGAACTGCATCTTAGCATAATCCATGATAACCACTCATCGGCACGTCTATCGGCAGCTATATAGATTGTGTGCCCTGTCTCCAATGCTTGCGTTCGTAAGCGTTATAATTAAGGTGACACGCGCTGGCAACATTACGGACCATTAACGGTGTATAGCCGTAGATATCAACCTTAGTTGTTCGAGTGAACTTTGAGGGTTCTAAGTTGAGGCAACATCTCGGAAGTAGTTGCGTCCGAGAATCACGTAAAATACTTTGCACGGAGTGATGAATCTCTTTTCACAAGTCATTTCAAGAGGGGTGTCTCGGCCCTCAGAGAGTGAGCATGGGGCACCACCAATATCGAGGCCGTGAGGATTCGTGTTGGAATATGCCATGGCCTATTCCAATAGATTTGGGAGGGCCGAGGACTCCAATTTATCCGAGTTGCGTATAGTTTCTTAGTTTAGTTTATGTTCTGGGAGACATCAGAAAAGGCCGAACGTCTATCCGATCGGAGAGCACTGCTAGCGGTTACTGCTGTTTTACCGGCTCCTCTTCTTGTTGGCCTCTGTTGCGGTTTTACCGCTCCTGTCATCGACACAATGCAGAATACTGTTGCCACTCCAGATGGGGAACATATCGAAATTGGCGTTAACTCAGATCTCTTCGTCTTTGATTCGACGATGGTCGCGAGTTTCTTCAGCGCTGCCCTCACTCTGGGTGCTCTTATCGGTACTCTCTCAGGAGGTCCCATCGCTGAACGTACAGGTCGACGAGTCGCTCTCCTAATCGCTGGCCCTCTCAATGTCGCGGCTTTCCTTATTATTGCTCTCTGTAAGAATATCCCAGCTCTCATCATAGCACGGCTAATAGCCGGGTTTTCTATGGGTATATGCTCCTTCATATGTTCTGTATATATCAGTGAGATTTCGCCGACTAGACTGCGTGGTCTATTGGGTAGCTGTACTCAATTGCTTATGGGTTTGGGTATATTGCTTGTTTACATTCTAGGAGCTGTGTGTCGCACAGATGGAGGGTCCTCCGATCCTCTGGCCACTTCTAAGACATTCTGTCGTTGGCGTTTGGTCGCGTATATCTGCCTCATTCCTGGTGCATTGTTGACTATTGCTATGTTCTTCGCTCCTGAAACTCCAAGATGGCTTGCAACTCGCGGTAGGCTGCAAGAAGCGGAGGAAACATTGTGTAGACTCAGAGATGTCGATTCTGTCGCCGACCCGAGAATTGCAGAGGAAGTCAAAGCTCTTGAAGATATCGTTGAAAACCTAGGGAAAAGAAAAGGAGGATTATCCGACTTGAAGAGGAGGTTCGATATTCTATGGCATTGTCCAAAGCAAGTTGCTATCGTAACGCTGACTAACATCGGTACACAATTCTCTGGTACCAATGCTCAAACCTTCTACCAGGATACTATATTCCAAGCGGCTGGGTTGAAGAACTCATCAGTCCTTGCTATAACAGTACGAGTATCGAGTACAGTAGCGACGTTACCGAGTATGTACCTATTGGATCGTGTCGGGCGCCGGCCTCTTCTCATCAGCAGTTGGATAGGCATCACAATTAGTCAGCTTTTGATGGGTATCTTCTTCTACCTCGATCGGGATGGTGATGCACAACATCTTGCCTGGCTCGCTCTATTAGCAACCTATGGTTATCAGTTATCATACTCTTGGGGTTGTGGTCCTATTAGATGGATGCTCGCCTCAGAGATCTTCCCAGACGAGGCACGAGGCTTGGCGTCTGCTATTGCTACTACGTCCAATTGGACTGGGGCGTTCTTCTTTGTCCTCTTCCTCGAGTCTTGCATTGAGGCAACTTCAATGCAAGCTGCTTTCTTCTTCTTCTCCTGTGTCGGTGCTCTCATGACAGTGTTCGAGTGGTATATGGTACCAGAGACCAAAGGTAAAACCTTCGAAGAGATTCAAGAGATGTTCGACAATTAGCTGATCGTTGTTTTCCGACCGGCTTCTTCTGCCTGGTTTCTTCACATTCTATGTATATTCTGCACTGTTGAGAGTGACCCTGGGTCATTGCCCCATCCGTCATATTTCTCCGTTGTAGTTTTGTATATTACAAATCTGCAATGGTATACTATATAGTAATTGGAATCTTGTGTGGTACACTTTGTTTCGCCATTTATCGACTGGTTGAGTTCGTAGTGGAACCGGTGAGACGTTGTTTCAGCCTCCATCGTGCATTATTAGAATACTGGCAGGCGATGTGTTCCACACGATGTGGATGTCGGCCGACACACCATGCACTTTAGAGTAACTAGTATGCGTTGAAGTTTTATGCTTCTATCAATGTCTAGCGCTATAGAAAGGGTTTATCCTGGGAGATTCACCAAGTGTACCATATGCGTGATTTGTTGGAACGGATTTACATGTCCCTACCGACTAACTACTATAATTCTGTCAATCGGACAGCGGCCATCACAAACTGCACCTTAGATAGCCCATATTCTACGGGGAGACTGCTAACACAAGTCGGAAAACCCTCAAGAAACTCCACTGGAGGTGCCGTTCCCTTCTCGCGATACCCTTAGAGCCTTCGACCGCGCTTGTCGCGATAATTGAGCAGAGACCATCCTAAATTGCAGCGAAGAGGATAAACTGATCGTAGGTGCATACATCAAAGACGTCTTACGTATTGAGTGCCCAAAATAAATGTGGAGGAAGACTTCCAGGCTCGATGACTAATGATGTTGACGAGGCTTCCTGAACATCGAAAAACGAACTCATGGAACATATCAATAGACCCGAAAAGGTACCTCTGATTCCCCATCTTGAATGACTCTCTCAACATCAGTAAGCGACATGAACTTTACCACCTCAGCGAGATGATGGTCGTGAAGCTTGCTGATCCGTCGACAAAGCCTTTGGACTTCATCTTCACTTGGAAGGGCTGTCCAATCTAATGAACGATGATACTACTGTACTGAACCCTGAAGAGTGATCACCTTTGCCCGCCTCTGTTAACTCGCCATCGGCCGCAGTCCCTTCAGCACCGGTCAGCACCTATGTAGTTACCCCAATACCAGATTAACGATCCACGGCAATCCACCTTCATTTTCCGTTTCTTATTACGTCCACCACCACCACCAACACCATCATTATTATTCCCTTCTATAAAGAGGTGATTGCTATGATCTTTTCCGGCCTTGGATTTCTCCAATGCCGTTCTGCTTTTCCTCTTCCGTTTATCCTCAGTGCCTATCCGCCACTCGTCATCATCGCAGCAGCTCCGCTCTACACTACCATCCTTTTTAGCCTTGCTCTTTTCCCCGCTTTTTCGCTTCGCTCCGCTAGACTTGTTCCCATTTCCCAAAGTTTCGGACTCTTTCTCGGACGATGTGGAGGGTGTCGCCGCAGTTGCCGGACTCGACCCATCCTTCACCAACTCAGGGACCATCTTGTGGATCCAAGTATCTTTCCGTGTGCGACTAGTAGCACGCATGCGCATTGCGCTATGGGCGATATCACTACTAACATCATTAAACCTGGGTACAAATATATCATTATCATCAACAGCCACTACGCAGCTCCACACGTCAGACAATTCTGCCAGATTTGCTCAATGTCGTTGAAAAACTCCAAAACGCTACCATACCGCCTATACAAGTACAGTACTCGAAGTTGGTAGCAGGAGTAAGCACTACCCACATTCCTTAGCCCTCCCAGCCTGAGGATGTTTCTTCAACTTCTTAGACTTCACAGTTAAGAGCAGTCGTGCTTCCACTGTACCTGTGATGATCGATGGGTTCAACTGCAGACAGCATGCAAGTTACCAAGATCCCTCGGTCGCTTTATCATCAAAGGGTATTCGTCAAGACCTAGCTCCTTCCATCGTACAGGCTCTTTGAAATTATCAGAGTCGGGAGATCCCCGTAGTGATTCTATCACCTGGGCAGCTACGAAGTGATGCCCATCAACTCTTTGAACTCGTGTAGTACCTCCAACAGGCCCGTAGCTATACTCTGAGTAATCTTAGTCGCCGCTAAGACCTGATCCTCAGTACGACTACCGACTGCTCGCATGATGGCCGTTCATAAAACTAGGGTAAAACTAGCCGATCTAAACTGAACCAAAGGCCGAGGAGAAAAGAAAAAAGTGTGTGAGAGCCTATGAGTCGATGTGGTGCTATTGCTGATACGAGCCTGGAGCTCCACCCATGCCAGGGTTGCCAGTAGCCATGAACCATAGAAGAGCTGCCAATACCAACGCTCGAGGGCCCATCATCAAGGTTATCAAAGCAAGTAGGATGATCTAAGGATGCATATCGTCATATTGCAGGAGTTGGAGATGAAGTTATTACATATAGCAGAGGAACATCTAAGCTAGGACGACCCACCATGGCTGGTACTGAAGAGTAATAAGAGTCCAATACGACTAAGCCACTACCCTCCTCCTACTAGTGACGACTCTCCCTTCTATTCCAAGCAAACGTTCGATCTGGGCTCTGATTCCGGGTTGGCCTCCTTCCCCCCTACATAGCTGTGCTCAACACTGCTTGGAAGTGACATTACTATTACTGAGGCTGACTGCTCCTGTTGTTGTTGCTGCTGCTATACTGATAGGCACTGCTGCCACTAGTAGTACTAGTATGCTCAGTAGGGCCACCAGATGCCGATGACCATTCCGCTGATGAGCGGAAGTTTTCTTGCCCACCTGACCATTCACTTCATGCGTGGTTATGCAACGACGTGAATACCATTGCTCGATGCCGTCGATTTATTCTGCCTCTTCCTCCCTGCCGCCCTAGGGTCTGAGTCCGGCACTATCTCCCCGTCAATGATAAGAACCATTACTCAATAACTTTACAACTACAACCAAGGAGCAGCAGACATAATACGCAAATGACAAACTAAACTGGTTTTTCATGGATTGTGAAGAAACTAGATAACTAGCAGTGGTAGTCAGAATAGTACTGTACAATATGGGCTTAGGCGGCAAAGGAACTCTCCGGAGGGCAGGTCTCCTTAGGGTGCTTCGACTCGAAGTGCTGCGTTAGGACTTTGTAGTTCGTCATTTGCAACTAATAACGACTATAGCAGAGAGAACCGGGCTAATATTATCATTACCATGCATTGAGGACAAGTCATCTTAAGAGCTGCCTTCTGACCAGCCAATTGGCTACCTATTACAACAACTTCATGCATGGTAGAGGATGAGGCAGTACCTTTATGAGCATCCTTGGCCTTCTTCAATGCATTCTTCCTCTGGGATTCTGCCTTCTGCTGACCGCGAGCCATTACTAGATTAGTAGGAATACAACTACTCCTAATGACGTTCACAATGGTGAGACTCTTTAAAACACAAAACCGCCACTTCTGAATACACTTTCTCATGAGGACAACAAGCCGTGGCACAAAGTCAAGTGTACCTGATCGGTGGCAGCAGCTACGACAAAATGATGGAAGGGGACAGAACAGCACACAATTCCTTAGCCTAGGGTGGCTCAACCCAACACGGTGATATTACATCCTCTTCCCTCCCAAGAATACTCCACGATACGTCTCATGTACTCGTCGTGATGGTCTAACCACAGAAGAGATGGCCCTCTGCAATGTGGGTAGCTGTCCTCACCGGTATTGGACCGTAGGAGCTTCATCACTCGCAGAAGAGCCAACATTACTGGCCCGCCTTTGTCGTTCCATAAACCTCCTAGCAAGCGAGAGTTGTCGTTTGGCGATATGAGAGAGGTCAGGAGGAGGCCTACAGGAACCTTGTCTGCTCTACAATCTAGGGACTGACTAACTTCCAGAGTCTAGATGGTATGGCACCAGCGTCAAATATCGGGCCCAATGTACGGTAAGCAAGAGGTGGTAAGGAGTTACCAAGATACTACAAAAAGGGGTTATCATCGAGCTAATACACTCTCTACCTTAGAATAACCAGCAGGATGCAGCTGAGTTATGGGGCGAGGAAGGCTAGTCGAAGATGTGCATCTGAAGAGAACCTTACAATGTGATATTCACAATAGCCTCCGCCACTTGAGTAAATGTGTTGCTGCTGGGACCGTATGGTCACTTCGAGCGAGGAGATGCGGCATTGACATCCGTCCACTACTCCCACTGTATGGTCCTCGACTGCCACTCCTGCCAGGTGTCAGGATGGCTCCCTGAATATGACCTATTCTACAGCCACCACGCTTAACCTCAATATTCCGTGCAATAAGTGAGTTCGCTTATATCACAATACCTCTCGAATGCATCCCCGCAAACTCCTTTTATTTCGAGCTCTGAGGAATCCCAAGCGGGAGTCTATCGTTGCGGCCATGATCCAACCTAATCCGTATCTGTCAACCTAAAGATGCGTCCATCCAACACAACATTACTTTCCTCATACGGACACGCCTCATTGCAAGGACGTGCGTGCACAGTACCACATCTTTTTCTATCTAAGGGCGAAGCCTATCCCGAACCCTGAGATGGGCCCGGACTGACTGCCTCTGATGAGGTCCCAACATTCTTTTAAAAATCCTAGTACTGCGTGATAATTACCAACCCTAGGACCTCTAATGCGTCCTTCTTACCCACAACCCTGGACCTGAGCTCATCGAGAGTCCACGGCTCTCTCGAGAGATGATGGATGATGGCACCACCTTCGTCGTCTACTTTGGGGTCCGACTCCATGTAGACAGAATACGATAGAGTCCATAAGGTATGCCCAGACTCCCGTACCACTCCTTTTCCACATCATACCTCCCCGTTATTCCTCAACTCAATAGGCTACCCGTATCTTCTCTGCGGAGAGCTCTTCCAGTTTGAGCAAGAGACCCTATGGTGTACCCACCCTCAGCGGCTAGAGACTGGGCCATATGAGCCTCTTGCTATCTTGCAGTTACTCTGGGCGCGGTCTTACTCGAGTAGTAGCACGCATGTGCGGGAAGGTTGAATAGGAGCCTCTTGATAAACAGTGGCTGTGGAGGATACTTCTACGGAAGGAGTGGCCCATCCCTCGTAATTTATCAGCGCATGTGAATTCCAGATAAACTCAGGTACCATTTTGGAGCACTCCAACAGTAGTTAAATCACCCTGGTGCTATCCATATTCGATAAGTTATGACAGTGTGAAAAATTGAAGTAGTGTTGATAGATCACCTCTCACCGGTGTTCCTGTCTATCACTGAGCGAAGTTTCATCATTCGGCTGAGGAACGGTGAATCAGGTTGGAGTATCAATATCATTTCTGCAATGGTGGAATCCTCTGCCAGCACTTTTCCCCACGGTTTTCATCAGAACGTCATAGCTCGTCGGGTGTATGGAGTGGTTTACCATTGGGGATAGCTGCTCATCGAGAGCTTCAAAGTGCTACCTTTGTACGGTTCACTATATTCACGCGCTATAAAACTACGGGATGTGAGGCCTTTATTTTTGCATCATTGTGTATATATAGGAGTTACCAATACCAGAGTCAGCTATAATCAACCCAATACCTGTTTAAAAGTCCCATGAAAATATCCTTCCGTGATAAGCTGATGAATGATGGCTATCAGCATCTCAACCATCAACGTGAGGAGGATAGCAGCGGAGGGTCTACTCGTACTGGCAGGGACCAGTGCCGGTAAGCGTCCAAAGGCCTGGTCTATGATGCTTGCTATAGGTATGGCTGTGGACGCCCATGTGCTGAGGGGTTCACTGCGAGTTTGGAACGGTAATACCTACCGCGCGCCACGACATTCACCACTTCATAGGTATGACGTTTGCTGCTGGGATTGTGCGGCAGCTGGTGGGAAGGGGTCACACGACCCCCATTGTGGTTCTAATGTGGTG